CCCCCCCCAGATTGTACTCTGGTGACGGGTCTGCTTCTAACGTAACACATTTGAAATGCAAAAACATTTGCAAAGCATATGATTTTGAGTGAGAGAAAATGTACAGAAAAAAGCAAGATTGAGACTTCGACTTTTATTTTATTCATATTTATTCAGAAAGAAAATGAAAAAAAAACTCCAATCGCAATCACCATGGAGGTGACCATTTTGATTAAAACACAATGAAAAGAACAAAAATATTAAACAACTCCCATGCACATCCATTCAACCATTTTGTCAGGGGTTGGGCAATAGCGTCCTGGAGGGGCGCTATCCTGAATGTTTTCCATGTCTTCCTGTTGCAACACACCTGAGTAAAATGAACAAGTTCAATGTCAGGCTTCCGCAGTGCTTGCTGATGATCTGATCATTTGACTCAGGTGTGTTGCAACAGGGAGAGATGGAAAACATGTCGGATAGCGGAATTACCCACCCCTGTATTATCTGTTCCGCTTCTCCTCACAAGGGTTGCGAGCGTACTGGAGCCTATCCCAGCTGCAGGCAGGGTCCACCCGAAATGGTTGCAAGCCAATCATAGCCACACAAAGACAAACCAACATTCGCGCTCACAATCACGCCTATGGACTATTTAGAGTGTTCCATTAACCTGCCATGCATGTTTTTGGAATGTGGAAGGAAAGTACCTGGAGAAAACCCACGCAGGCATGGGGAGAACATGTAAACTCCACACATGAAGACCGGAGCAGGAATTGAGCCATGCACTTCTGAGGTGGACATGCTAAGGAGTCGACCTCCGTTCCATGCGTGTTTAAAATATTCATTATGAAATATTTCATTAATAATACAATGAATATTAGATATAAAAAAACTGCAACAACATATTTCATACGAATATTCCCTTATTTTACAATTAAATGGGATGCCATATATTAGTCTCTTATTTATCGAAACTGTTTTATTTCAAAATGCTGTATTTATTTATTTATTTCGGACACTTGATTTCCACAGCACATTGAGAAGAGAGTTTCGCAACGCTACTCAGTCTCCAACACGGTAGGGGGCGGTAATGATCCAAATGCTGTTTAAAAAGGGGCAGGGTGGGAAGGGGAAGCAATAGTATCCAGCTGCAGACTCGGAGGAGGTAGCTTCAGGCAGTGGTAGACATACGCCGGAAGTGGCTGTGGTAAGTTTAGGCAAATGGTTTTCAAAATAAAATCCCAAAGTGGCTGTGGTAAGTTTAAGTTTCGGTATTTATCTTAACTATACACTTATCAAGTCTTCTCTCTCTCTCTCTCTCTCTCT